CCCAACCATGTGGTCTGAGTGACTGGCTTACCCAACATGTGGTCTGAGTGACTGGCTTACCCAACAATGTGGTCTGAGTGACTGGCTTACCCAACCATGTGGTCTGAGTGACTGGCTTACCCAACCATGTGGTTCTGAGTGACTGGCTTACCCAACCATGTGGTCTGAGTGACTGGCTTACCCAACCATGTGGTCTGAGTGACTGGCTTACCCAACCATGTGGTCTGAGTGACTGGCTTACCCAACAATGTGGTCTGAGTGACTGGCTTACCCAACAATGTGGTCTGAGTGACTGGCTTACCCAACCATGTGGTCTGAGTGGCTGGCTTACCCAACCATGTGGTCTGAGTGACTGGCTTACCAACCATGTGGTCTGAGTGACTGGCTTACCCAACCATGTGGTCTGAGTGACTGGCTTACCCAACCATGTGGTCTGAGTGACTGGCTTACCCAACCATGTGGTCTGAGTGACTGGCTTACCCAACCATGTGGTCTGAGTGACTGGCTTACCCAACCATGTGGTCTGAGGGGACTGGCTTACCCAACCATGTGGTCTGAGTGACTGGCTTACCCAACCATGTGGTCTGAGTGACTGGCTTACCCAACAATGTGGTCTGAGTGACTGGCTTACCCAACCATGTGGTCTGAGTGACTGGCTTACCCAACCATGTGGTCTGAGTGACTGGCTTACCCAACCATGTGGTCTGAGTGACTGGCTTACCCAACCATGTGGTCTGAGTGACTGGCTTACCCAACCATGTGGTCTGAGTGACTGGCTTACCCAACCATGTGGTCTGAGTGACTGGCTTACCCAACCATGTGGTCTGAGTGACTGGCTTACCCAACCATGTGGTCTGAGTGACTGGCTTACCCAACCATGTGGTCTGAGTGACTGGCTTACCCAACCATGTGGTCTGAGTGACTGGCTTACCAACCATGTGGTCTGAGTGACTGGCTTACCCAACCATGTGGTCTGAGTGACTGGCTTACCCAACCATGTGGTCTGAGTGACTGGCTTACCCAACAATGTGGTCTGAGTGACTGGCTTACCCAACAATGTGGTCTGAGTGACTGGCTACCCAACCATGTGGTCTGAGTGGCTGGCTTACCCAACCATGTGGTCTGAGTGACTGGCTTACCCAACAATGTGGTCTGAGTGACTGGCTTACCAACCATTGGTCTGAGTGACTGGCTTACCCAACCATGTGGTCTGAGTGACTGGCTTACCCAACCATGTGATCTGAGTGACTGGCTTACCCAACCATGTGGTCTGAGTGACTGGCTTACCCAACCATGTGGTCTGAGTGACTGGCTTACCCAACCATGTGGTCTGAGTGACTAGCTTACCCAACAATGTGGTCTGAGTGACTGGCTTACCCAACAATGTGGTCTGAGTGACTGGCTTACCCAACCATGTGGTCTGAGTGACTGGCTTACCCAACCATGTGGTCTGAGTGACTGGCTTACCCAACCATGTGGTCTGAGTGACTGGCTTACCCAACCATGTGGTCTGAGTGACTGGCTTACCCAACCATGTGGTCTGAGTGACTGGCTTACCCAACCATGTGGTCTGAGTGACTGGCTTACCCAACCATGTGGTCTGAGTGACTGGCTTACCCAACCATGTGGTCTGAGTGACTGGCTTACCCAACAATGTGGTCTGAGTGACTGGCTTACCCAACCATGTGGTCTGAGTGACTGGCTTACCCAACCATGTGGTCTGAGTGACTGGCTTACCCAACAATGTGGTCTGAGTGACTGGCTTACCCAACCATGTGGTCTGAGTGACTTTCTTACCCAACCATGTGGTCTGAGTGACTGGCTTACCCAACCATGTGGTCTGAGTGACTGGCTTACCCAACCATGTGGTCTGAGTGACTGGCTTACCCAACCATGTGGTCTGAGTGACTGGCTTACCCAACAATGTGGTCTGAGTGACTGGCTTACCCAACCATGTGGTCTGAGTGACTGGCTTACCCAACCATGTGGTCTGAGTGACTGGCTTACCCAACCATGTGGTCTGAGTGACTGGCTTACCCAACAATGTGGTCTGAGTGACTGGCTTACCCAACAATGTGGTCTGAATGACTGGCTTACCCAACAATGTGGTCTGAGTGACTGGCTTACCCAACCATGTGGTCTGAGTGACTGGCTTACCCAACAATGTGGTCTGAGTGACTGGCTTACCCAACCATGTGGTCTGAGTGACTGGCTTACCCAACCATGTGGTCTGAGTGACTGGCTTACCCAACCATGTGGTCTGAGTGACTGGCTTACCCAACCATGTGGTCTAAGTGACTGGCTTACCCAACAATGTGGTCTGAGTGACTGGCTTACCCAACCATGTGGTCTGAAATTGCCCAACAAAGGGGACGTAATTGTTGTATCCACTGCCTGGTAAGTTACTCTTCTCCGCCTCTTGTGATCTTCTCTGTAGTGTTGGGTTACTATGTATTGTTGTCTTGTGGGCGGTGGGCGGCGGGTTCTTGGTACGGGGCGACGGGTGGTGGGAACTGGGTGGCAGACGCTTCGAAGTTTCACTAAGAACCTACCTTGTTCTAAATGTGGTTGCTGGGGTCGAATTTCAGCTCCTGGCCCTGCTCCTTCACCGGCCGCTACTGAGTGCACACCCTCTTGGCTTCGAGTCTTAGTGTGGGCCAGTAGGTCTACTGCAGTGTTCCTCCATTCTTAAGTACCTCTTCTTAAAGCTATGTATGGATCCTGCTTCTAAACCTCTACTTGCCAGGTATTTCCTCCTCCTGACTACTCGCGAGGCTGAAGAAATACTTCCTGAAATCCTCGTGAGTTATCTGTTTTCAACTTCCAGATGTACCCTCGTCTCCCTGCTTCCAGTCTATCTAACAATCGAAAGAGCGTCTACCTGGAGGGTATTCCGGGGATCAACGCCCCCGCGGCCCGGTCCATGACCAGGCCTCCTGGTGGATCCGGGCCTGAGCGTTCAAACATTTCGAGTATTGAAATATAAATAACAGTGGAACATTGGTTGAAGTGGATGTAGTAGAATGACAAGAACACTGCCGATAAATAAAGTAAAGATACAGAGCAAGAGGAGCTGTTCCAGGAAACAGTTTAGCTTCAGTGTCAACTTCAGCAAGTGGTACACAGGATGTGGTGTTGGTAAACCATACCCCCGGCCGGGATTGAACCCGCGGTCATAGAGTCTCAAAACTCCAGCCCGTCGCATTAGCCACTAGACCAGTCTCGTGGCTAATGCGACGGGCTGGAGTTTTGAGACTGGTCTAGTGGCTAATGCGACGGGCTGGAGTTTTGAGACTCTATGACCGCGGGTTCAATCCCGGCCGGGGGTATGGTTTATTTGCAATCGTGTCATTACGATTTCTTGAGTCAAGTTGTGGTGTAGGTGTTTTGTGTGTCAGTACAAATGGGCATATGGTTCTCCTGAAGAGGGACTGAGCGGTGTTAATGCTGCAGTTTTGTAACTGTAGCGTACGCTCGTCTCTGGCAAGACAGTGATGAGTGAATGATGATGAAAATTTTTCTTTTTCGGGCCACCCTGCTTTGGTGGGAAACGGCCGATGTGTTTATAAAAAATAAATAGTTCGCCTGAAGAGGGACTGAGTCACACGATGACTCGCTCAATAGAAATAAGTCACTTTGACTTTTAAGGGTTATCCCAGGTTCTCTACACATATGCTGCTATGTATAATAATCCATATAACTGTATTTGTGTATACCTGAATAAAATTGCTTATCTCACTAAGACCTTCCACCGGCTTACCGGTCCACAACGTAAAGAATAATATTACAGCCAAACAGGGTGATGACAGATGCCCTGTTACATCTGTCACTACCATACCACTCAGGACCTGTCCTCACAGTCTGTGATGGAGTATACGAGTTGTAGTCACTAGTCCGTGAAAGCTGTTAGTGTTATAAGACACGTCTTTATGTCCTCATCTTGTCGGTATTATATACCATTCATGTACGCGTGAATCACGTGTAAGAGAGAGAGAGAGAGAGAGAGAGAGAGAGAGGGAGGAGAGAGAGAGAGAGAGAGAGAGAGAGAGAGAGAGAGAGAGAGAGAGAGAGAGAGAGAGAGAGAGAGAGAGAGAGAGAGAGAGAGAGAGAGAGAGAGAGAGAGAGCCTGGTGGATCAGGGCCTGGATGATCAGGCCCTGATCCACCAGGAGGCCTGGTCATGGACTGGCCCGCGGGGGCGTTGATCCCCTGAATACCCTCCAGGTAGACTTCAACATTAAGACCCTAGAAAGATCTTAGGATAAAGTCCCTGGTGGACAACAAGGTCTTCATAAATAAAAGGCCACAACCCGCATACTGTCTTGTATACGGTGGGAATATTCCGTCACTGGACTACCTACCAGGTGTAAGGGGTCTTGATTGAAGAAATTGTACATATCGTTCCTTCCACTGGATCAAATCTGATTACCTCCCATTTACCCGCAGACGCTTAATGACACTTGTGGGTTTTAGCGCTTCCCAATCAATAGCTTCACATTACAATATCAAGATCATACAATATACTCATAGATATATCAAGATCATGCAATATATTTATCAATACAATATCAATGTCATATAACACACACATACACACAGGAGGGATAGGGGAGACATGATGACGACATACAAAATACTGCGTGGAATAGACAAGGAGGACAGAGACAAGATATTCCAGAGTGGGGACACAGAAACAAAGGGTCACTCTTGGAAGTTGAAGAGTCAGATGAGCCACAGGGATGTTAGGAAGTATTTCTTCAGTCACAGAGTGGTCAGGAAGTGGAATAGTCTGGCGAGCGATGTAGTGGAGGCAGGAACCATACACAGCTTTAAGACGAGGTATGATAAAGCTCATTGAGCAGGGAGAGAGAGGACCTAGTAGCGGTCAGTGAAGAGGCGGGGCCAGGAGCTGAGTATCGACCCCTGCAACTACAATTAGGTGACTACACACATACACTGGAGTACGAAGGAGAGCAAATTAAAACTCATCTCTAAACTTACCTTTAATCTTCCTTAAGACAGCTTGATAAACAAAAAAACAGCATTAAAACACGCCACACAGCTCAACTCAATGGATGGGAAATCAAGCAACACAACACTTGTGTTTATTTAGGAAAAATAAATCAACACAGTTTTACAAAATAAAGTTTACCAGCAGATTTAGTTAAGTTTAAAGTCCCTTAAAGGCTCTTTATAAGCACCAATAAGCGTGTGCAAAATAAAGCAGATGATATACAATATAAAAGTTAATAAATATAACATTTTATTGTTGGAATCAGTAAAGTATTGTGCCGAGCAAGCCAAATAAATGTGCACGTTAGAGAAATAAATTGTTGTTGTTGGTTTTAACAAGTGGGAGTAATTTAGCAATAACAGAATCACCGGTGTTTATAACATTAGTGTAAAGACAAAGAGTAGCATTAATATCATTATTAAAATAATGGTTACGGAGGGGTAAAGTTGCAGCAACAGATGAAGCAACAGCAGCACCGAGTAGCGGAAGAGAGGTGATGTTATTGCAACAAGAAATGGAACAGCAGAAATGTTAAAAGAGGAGGAGGATAGGGGGCGAAACGTTGTCAATAAACGATAGCATTGTACTGTATCTGTGTTTAATTTTCCAGAGATGACAATGCTAATAATAACACTTCTGACACTACTAATGACACTACTAATAACTCTATTAATAACACTAGCGCCTGTGTTACTAGCGGAGAGTCAACAAACTGACGTCAAGATCTAAGTAGTGTGTGATATCAATGGTTTAGAAAACCGATAAGTTGAAGAATAAAACACTTGTGCAACATTTGGGAATCTTTATTGAGGAAACGTTTCGCCAGCCAGTGACTTCTTCAGTCCTGTACAGATAAGAATGGTGGAAGATGAGGAGAATGAGCTAATCAGTCCCTCAACCTTGAGTCGACATGTTCATCAATCTTGACTGATGGACTGAACACATCAACTCCAGGCTGTGGGACTGACTGCCTCATTCTCCTCATCTTCCACCGTTCTTCTCTGTACTGGACTGAAGAAGCCACTAGCTGGCGAAACGTCTCCTCAATAAGAACATAAGAAAGAGTCCCAGATGTTGCATAAGTCTCTCATTCTTCAACTAACTAATATTATTAGTAACAAATCATCTTCAACATTGTAAGAGGCGTTTACATTACTGCTCCTGGAATAACCATGATTCACACTCCTCCTACACAAACATCTGAGATGAAGGAATTTCTGACATCTCTCATACTTAGTGTTTCTTCTGCTTCCGTCACGCATCCACATCCTTCACAAGGTCTGCATCACACACGCTACACGTATTCCACTTCTCTTGAGACCTCCCTAGAGACATATTTAAACAGCAATACAACAGCTGTTTCTCCCAACTAATACACACACTTGAGATGAAGCTACACGATGTCTTGGACTACTGTAAAGTCCGTCAAGTTACGTTTTGAATCTGTGGGCAAGTTGTAAATTGTTGTGTATCCAACTTTCTTAGAGAGACGTTGCGACACTTGTGAGCGAAACATCGCGCAAATTTCTCGCTTATTGTGCACCAGGTTAGTAAGTGTTGTGTCACCATACGCGTGAAAAACGGATTCAGAAACACGGCACTGTGATTTGCATTTTTCTAAGTTCCTATCCTAAGTTGCCATATCCATCTCTTCCATCTTTCTGTACTTCTAAAAGTAACCATCCTGCAAAAGATCCACGCTAAACCATCTCCTGACTACTACACTACATTATATCAACACTTAGCTTCCTCTCAGTCACATTCTAACATGCAAACACTTACATACACGCCCCAGGAACAATATTTTCTTCTGCTGCTTCCACAAGCAAGGCACAAAGGAGCCTCATAAGGTTAAATTTAACCAAGCCACAAGACTTAAGGCGTCATCTTAGTCCAGGACACCGTTGGCTGAATCAATTACTTTGTGCAGCTACCTACGCTACACTGGGATACCGATGGTTGTACCACTACACTGGGACACCGATGGTTGTACCACTAGTGTCTAGTGTACCTATCTACGCTACACACAATAATAACCATGACGTAGCATCTGCTGTAACTGTAATCAGATCAGCAAAATATCGTTATTTATAGGAGAATACTATCAAAGAGAGCAGTACCCAGAGGCAGTAAAGTGGAAATAACAGAGGCGAAAAATGAGCAATCGAGCAAAAGGAGACTCGAGCAAAAAGAGAAGAATCGAGCGCAAGGAGAATCGAACGTAAGAAGAATCGAGCATAAAGAGAAGAATCAAGCATAAGCAGAAAAATCGAGCATAAAGAAAAGAATCGAACATAAGGAGGAGAATTAGAAAGCACATTGGGAATGGATAATCATAATCCCACAAGAGACAACAACAACAGCAGAGTAAGTTATAACACAAGAAGCAGCAGCAGCAGCAGCAGTAGTAAGTTAGTATCACACATTAGCAGATTATATTGGCCTAACTTACCTTTCTCATGGCCAGCGACAAGGTCACCAGTTTAACTACGTTATTATGCTACGCTAAACACTTCGTTTGGTTCAAACCTTTGATGTGTAATGCACTAGTTTCAACCTGTAAGACCTGCTACTTATACTCTAATGAAAATAATATGAGAACCCAAAACAATTACTAACACAAATAATACAAATGATGAACAGGACGTAATTTAGAGACACCCTTTGATGGCTTTTTTAGAATTTAAATTACAAAGAAAAAGTCTGGATCTGAAATTACAATTTGTTTAAAGCTATGGCCAACTTTGAGAGCACTCGGGAAAACTTGTGTTTCTCAAAACTATCCTTAATTATGAGTCTGTAACCAGACTCGTGCCAGGAATGTGTTCACTGTGAAGAGCAAAAAAACTGAACCAAATGACTCTGGATGAGACGATGACTAAATGATACCTTTGATATACCTATGATGAGTTCCAAGAGTCTTTCTACTCCCCAGAGCCCGGCCATGGGCGAGGCTCGTCTGGTGTTTGCCTGGTTAACCAGGGTGTTGCTGCTGGTGGTCCCCTGACTTACATATCCACAGCCTAGTTGAACTGGCACCTGAATATATCTGTAAATTTACCCAAAGACACCTCCCAGAGGGTCACTGCCCCCGTGACCAGATCCCAGACTAGGCCTCCAGGTTTAAGGCCTTGTCACTCAGGCTATTTTTGCTGACAACCAGCAGTTCAACACTGACACCACCGCTTGCTGCTCAGGAAATGACTTAAGGACCTTACCAAATTCTCTCTTGCTGACAGCCAGCGATCTGTCAGGTACCGTCGGCCAATCTCTTGCTTATAAAGAAAGTTTTTCGTGAACAGATTTGGGATTAATCCCTTCAACATTTTTCAGGTACAAAGTGCATCTTTGTCGCCTACGTCTCAGGTATACAGTTAACGGAACTTTAAGCCTTCCCAGCATTTCAGATGAAGATTTGAGAGGTTTTCTGTACACTCACCTTAAAAGGGGCTGTTAGTATACATCAACATTCCAGTCTAGAGAGAAGAAATAACAAGAGTACAACCAATGGCTTGATATATCTTGTTTTCCACGTCCACGTTATCCGTTCTATACCGTTCTATAAATTTTACTGTGGCTGTGATAATAACACTGCTGTGATCCTTGAATGTAAGATCCGCAGACATTATCACTCTTACGTCTCTCACATTAATCTTTCGCTCCGCTCTGCAGTTTGAATTCATTTTAAACTCCGTTCCAGTTTCATTTCCTCAAAATTTTTCATAGCAGAGTAACTGAATACATTCTCGCTCAACCACACATTATAGCTTTCTTTAGCCAACTGGAAGACCAGGTTAATACCATCTTGGAAGTTTATTGTGACACTGTTATACAAATTCTTATACCGACTACGAAGGATGATACAGTGCTATGACTTACATGTCTGTCTATGTCGGATATGAAATTAACTAAGAGAACTGTGTCTGGAGGAAGCAAGCTTTTCACCGTAGTAGCCTCCGATTTTACTGTGTTCACTATTACATTTCGGGTTCTATTAGAAAGTTATTCCTTTTATATCCATTTTGTGCACTATTGTACCATGACCACACTTGCCTACGGCTTTTGTAAAGCCGGTTAGTATGTAACTGTCTTCCAGCGCATCCAAACTCACGTAGCAGTGATCCAGTAGTTGCGAGAGGCTGGAGCGACCTGCACTAAGCCCATGTTGCTCCCGGGTTATATAACCGTTGTCAACTGTTACTTTTTAAAATTCGGCGATACTGGTTCGTAGTTTTTTGCGGCTGTTTTGTGGAGTGGGACTAGTGATTTTTTATGAATGTGGGATGACGTTATAGTTTTTTTTTTTTTTAGTTCTTGGTGAATATGAATTATCACGAACTCGGGCACTGGGCATACTGCCCATGGCTTTTGTTTTTGAAGATGAGTAGAGTAAAAGTTTTGTCAGAAATTACGACAGAGAAATTATGTCGATAGAGTTTTCAGTTTCATTAGCGAACAATTCACTTGCGATGTCAATCTTTATTCCGAGTGATGTCTCACTGAACATAGTCAAACTGTGACTTCAACATGACGTACAACAGACCTGAATGAACTGACAGGGAAGGATAGAGGGATACTGTTTAAAATACGAGGATCGGAAAAATATATGATAGCTGAAAACGCAGCCGAGACCCAGATAGTAAAGAAATGACTGTGCAGTAGAGATAAACTCCACAGCTATAAGAATAAGTATGATAGTGCATCAATAAAGTTTAAGAGGCGAAGCCAGGAGCCAAGGTTCGACCCCCAGCAAACACAAATCGGTGATCACACACATCTACTTCATATTTAAATTGCTGCCATGAAAGTCCTTGACACTCAGGCCAGGAACTGTGTATATTTAAACACTGAATATTCAGATACTCACACAATTCATAACTAATTTTATTTTTATCTGACTTCCTCCCCTCACATTATGGTTGGTAAATTGGGTTTAAAATCTATCGACTTCACGAGGGTCATTAAGGCTGCATATGGTAACTTATTACGCATCAGTCTAGAATATTTCTATCCCTAAAATACATGTGTTAGTTGTGATGGTTGTGTTGCATGTAGTAGTAGCAGTAGTAGTAGTAGTAGTAGTAGTAGTAGTAGTAGTAGTAGTAGTAGTAGTAGTAGTAATAGTAGTGGTAGTAGTTACTAGTTGTTACAAAAGCTATGTATGGCTCCTGCCTCCACTACATGACTGAAGAAATGCTTCCAAACATCCCTGTGACTTGTCCGAGTCTTCAACTTACAATTGTGACCCCTGGTTGCTGTGTCCCATCTCTGGAACATCCTGTCTCTGTCCACCCTGTGTGTGTGTGTGTGTGTGTGTGTGTGTGTGTGTGTGTGTGTTGTGTGTGTGTGTGTGTGTGTGTGTGTGTGTGTGCGTGTGTGTGTACATGTACTCACCTATATGTGGTTGGAGGGGTCGAGTCACCCTAGGTAATCCTAGATAATGTATGTAAGTTTATTCAGGTAAAACGTATATGAGTGCTAATATTGTGTGTGTCCTCCTGACCACTGAAAATGTCTTATGTATTGATCGCCTAAATAAAAGTTGCCAATTAGAATTAATTAACTAATATTTTTATCCATATTAGATAAGTTTCCCAGAGAATGTTGACATTCTCTGAGAATTTAGAAAGAAAACGGAATCACTATGGGTAACCTCAAGAATCACTGTGTCAATCCCAGGGATAAGATAAGAGAGAGAGAGAGATAAAAGAGAGATAAGATTTGTCGCATTTTTTTTTTAACCCGGGGAAGTGTTAGCCACCTAGGATAACCCAAGAAGTTAGTGCGTCATCGAAGACTGTCTGTCTTATTTCCACTGCGGCCCTTTAATCTTATTCTCCAGGATGTGACCACACCAGTCCACTAACACCCAGGTACCTACTTATTGCTAGGTGAAAAGGGACAGCAGGTGTAAGGTGACTAACACCAGGTGCCTATTTACTGCTTGCTGAAAGGGACAGCAAGTGTAAGGAAATATGCCCAACGTGTCCACCCATGACAGGGAATGAACTACGAACACTCAGTATGTGAGGCAAGTGCGTTGTCAACAGAGCCACTAAGATAGGTTTTATTTAGGTTCTCTACATGTGGTTTTGCAGACTTTTGCATCTTTCTATAATAGCTGCAATAATGAATAAAAGTTACACTCATTCACTGATCCCTCGAATTGTACTCTCAGGAACATAGCCAGGGAAGAAGATGCATAATATACACCTTGAAAAATTGGAGAGGGACTGATCCCAAATCTGTGCACAGAGATCACTCTCCTTGAAATTAAAAGGACTGACAGACGGTGCAAAATACCCTAAATGAAAAACAGGGGTACAATGAATACACTAAGAGATAACTTAGTAAGTGTACAAGGACTAAGATTTTTCAATATCCTCCATCCGGTGAGTTGTTTACAATAATATTATTACGATTTCGCGAGTCACCCTTCCTTCCTACGAAAGGCAAGATATAAACAGAATCCTGGCTATCTCCAAGAATCGATCTGTAGTATATATGTTGCAGGCTGCGTACTGCTAGTATCAACAGCCTGGTTAATCTGGCTATCCACAGTGAGGCCTGATCTAAGAGTGGGCCAAAGGGGCGGAACCCCCTGAAATCGACTCCATTATTATTATTATAATCAAGGGGGAAGCGCTAAACCCGGAGGATTATACAGCGCCTGGGGGGGGGATGTGGAAGGCATTCAGGCTTAATTCGGGGAACTGGAGCACAGATCCAATTCCCTAAATCAAGAGCCCCTCACCAACATCAAGGAACCTTCCTTGAGGGGGAAATCGACTCCAGATAGACTCCAAAGAATGCTAAATTTACCTTAGTTAATGATGCAACCGTTTTCTTTGATACAAGAATAAAAGAAAATGGATATATTTCATGGTTGACTGAAGGACATAATACAGTCTTTTCATTGGTGTTATGAATATATATATATATACACATTAAGTGACATTAAGTGACAGGAGGCCTGGTCACAGACCGGGCCGCGGGGGCGTTGACCCCCGGAACTCTCTCCAGGTAAACTCCAGACTGCATTAAACCAAATTTATGATCAGAACCCATATAAGGAAACAGAGCTCTTTATAAAATTTAAAGATTTGGAAAATGCATACGATAGAGTAGATAGGGAAGGGATGCGGCTAGTGTTTTAATGTATATAAGTGGTAAGCTGTTGAAAACTATTAGTTTTTATAAGGAGACTGAGGCTCAGGTCAGGGTGTGTGGGAGAGAAGAGTTGTTTGTATTTGACGCAGTGCTTTTGGGAGATTGAAAAAAGTAGTGGCAGAAGTTGATGGAGAGTCTTAAAAATACGTGTAAGTGAAGCTTAATGTAAACACGGGAAAGAGGAAGGTGCTCAAAGTGGATGTTTAAAGAACTTAATATTACAGGCCAGAGAGCAAGAATGGAGGAAGTGTTTGTATTCAGATACTCTGGAAGGAATGCGTCATTAGACAAGTCTGTGAAAGATGAAGTGAAACACATAATAAGTGAGGGGAAACAACGTAGCAGGGTGCTGAGGAGTCTCTGGAAACGGAGCAGAATGTCACTGAATACAAAAAAGGTGAATATAAGTGACATCGCTTTTGTATGTGTGTGGCAGCATGTAGGAGGCTGGAGGCAGTGTAGGTGTTATGTCCGAGCTCAGTGTCTAGTGTGAATAAAGAATAATAATAAAAAAAATACTGTGGCTGGAACAATGCACCAAAAGGCCACACCGAGAAGAACCTTATGACGACGTTTCGGTTGCGAACCAAAGCATCGTCATAAAGAGTATAAGTGCTAGTTTTTTGGTGAATCTGGATTGAGTATTACGCAGACAATAAAAAAACATGAAAAAAAGTTAGAGGCTAATGTAGTGGTATAAGGTGCGACTGAATTAATGGAAGGGTGAATGCTGAGATGGTTCAGTCATGTGGGAAAGGTAGATACATTATAAGTTGGTTAACAGCATGTGTGTGTCTGGGATGGATGGCAGCAGGTATGACTGAGGGAGAGTGGTTTCTAGGATTTAATATGCTACTGGAGTGTGAGCTGTGGCACTAATGATGTTTAATGTGTTTTCTCTTTTACAGGCCACCCTTCCATGGTGGGAAACAACCAGTATTAAAATTAAAAAAAATGAATTCAACAGAGAAAAATAGAGGTTTGTGTGATAAGGGTTGGATATGAGGAGGCCTTGCAAAGTATTGGGAGAGTAGGCCTGCTGCATTGTGTCTCTATTCTTATGTTCCTATGGGAAGCTTAGTAGAGCACCAAGACAAAGTTTAGGCGTAAACTTGACCAACGGAGTGGAGCCTACCACCTGGGAGGCTGATGGAGCTCCACCTGAGTGTGTGGTAATCAATAAACAATGCTTACACCTCCAGCGGCTCACTGCTGCCTCCGCTTCTCCCACCATGTCTCAGCTTTAAACGCACTCCTGACCTTCCTGACCCCAGCCCTGACCTCAGTACCGACTTCCTTGACCCCAATCCTGACCTTAGTACTGACCTCTCTAACCTCAGTCCTGACCCGTGGCGTGGCCATGAACTCTGGCTTCCCTGGCCCCACTTCTAACATTAATCTTACTCCCCTGACCTCAATCATGACCTCTGACCCTGGCCCCGAATTTAGTCCCGGCCTTGCCCTTTTTGACTTGTTCCTAGCCCCTACCGTCCATGAAATCGAATCTAAGCAAAAACTGATGCCTCCACACGCCTCTTCTCTTCCGACATAAATATCCTCTGACAATTATTTTGAATTCAGTCTGACTTATATATATCGTATATAGTTCCAACGTCAATATTTGTACTCTTAATTCAAGTGAAAATGCAACGAGGTTTTTCTCTACAGCTGAACAAAAATAACAGAGTAACACAACGCTTTATTGAAACACACGACGGACGGAAATTAAAATTATTTCCTTGCCGCTTATAGTCTAATTTTGAATATGGTACAAATAAAAAAAAATCCTTTAGGTTCTGCACACTCACGTTTTCCACTCCGAAAATTTGTAAACAAAGCATTTTTTTTAAGTCTAATAAAACAAATTTACTGCTCGAAACGACCATAAATAATTTAAGCAAGCTTAAGCACGAGCATGCGCGCGCACGCACACACACACACACACACGCTCCTGAAAAAAACACGTTGCAGAACAAGTGTTTTTTTCTGGGTAAGCGTCCCGGCCTTTCCATCACTAAGAGCGTTCTCACATCAATGGGTTCTCCCATCAGTGGGTTCTCACGTCAGAGGTTTCATACGAGAAGGTTCTTACCTTTAGTGTAAGTGGTTCCGTTGGCCTGGTGAGAGAAGGGATACTGGAGCCGGTCTCTCGGGAGAAGAGCCTCGCTCTCCGGGTACCGGTAGTTCTCGTAGCCCCGTACGCTCCCTTCCCGGTAGCCGGAGCCGCTACCGTCTGTGGTGTAGCCATCGCGGGGGTCCGAGTCCACGGAAGGCCGGTAGCCTCCCCGGTAGTCATAGTGGTAGTCCTCGGCGTTGCGGTAGCGGTGTCGGGGACTGGTGCCGTACCGCTGCTGACCAGTGAACTCCCGGTCGCTCCGATGGTAGTCCCGTGGCCCTGTCGAGTAGTCTCTAGCACCATCCTGATAGTCTCTAGCACCGTCGGGGTAGTCTCTAGCACCGTCGTAGTCCCTAGCACCGTCAGGGTAATCCCTAGCCCCACTCTGGTAGTCTCTGGGTCCGGTGTTCACTCCTCTGGGGCTGTTCTGGCTACTATCTACCAATCCACTGTGGTAGGGGGGCGGGTCGTGTTGATAGTCCTTTCCTAAACTATGGTAGTCCCTAGGACCACTCTGGTAGTCCCTAGGACCGTTCTGGTAGTCCCTGGGACAGTTCTGGTAATCCCTGGGACCGTTCTGGTAGTCCCTGGGACCGTTCTGATACCCCAATGGACCGCTCTGATAGTCCCCACCACCTGTTGGATAGTCCACGGGTCCATTGAGGTATTCCCTGGATCTGCTTTGGAAGTCTCTAGTGCTCTGATAGTCTCTGTTGGCCCCGCGCATCGGATAGTCCCTAGTAGCAGTGGGATAGTTGTGATATTCTGGAGGGTAGTTGTACCGAGGAGGGTACGGCGGCTGCTGCTGCTGTTGTTGCTGCTGCTGTTGTTGAAGTACGAATGTTGGGAGCGCAATTCGTCCTCTGGGTAGCGTCGGGCGTCGCTGAAGTAACTCATAGTGGAACTGATACCCCGAGATTTCTTCATGCGTGTTGGGGCGCACGTCGAGGAGTGTGGGTACGGGAGTGTGGGCTCCGTCCACCGTCGCCTAACTTCACCTCGCCATTATCTGAAACAAAGAGACACCTCGTTAGCGGAGGGTTTAAAGTGTAACGACTACACGAGGGTTATTAAGGCAGCATGTAAAACTGTTTACCACCAGGATTAAGGTAACTCTCAGTGCATATACACTGTAGAGACATACACCTCTCTGGGTGTATACACCCCTTGATACAGCTATACACACTGATTATATCCCACGGCTTATGACGTGCTGGCCTTTAAGCATAAAATATTTATTAATAATAAGTTTTAATTATACAGCCCGCCTCCCATTTCGGGTCGAAAAAAGTTTTTGTGTACTAAGCACATTTACACTTGTGTGAGTATACTCACTAATTTTACACTTGTTTGTGTGTCTGTGTATGTATACTCGCCCCTTTTACTGATCAATATGTTCAGTCTTGAACATATTAAAACAAGGTTATAAGTGGAAAATAATTAACTAACTTTGACGAAGCCTTGATTAAGATATAACCTAATTAAAAGGTTCACAAGTTTTGTATCTTGGTCAGTGTAATAAATGTCCAGGTTAATGATATGAGGGAACATATAAATGTCCAGGTTAATGATATGAGGGAACATATAAATGTCCAGGTTAATGATATGAGGGAACATATAAATGTCCAGGTTAATGATATGAGGGAACATATAAATGTCCAGGTTAATATGAGGGAACATACAGATGTCCAGGTTAATGATATAGAGGAGCACATAGATTCAGTGGTCCATAACATGCGGGAACGTATAAAGTTTGAGAAGAAGAATCTACACCCAAAACATTTAAGAATGTATTAAATGTGCTACATAAATTTAGGATGGACGAAATATAAAGGCCTGGTGATAATGAACAAAAGGCTACTACTACTGAGAACATACGTTTATGGTGACGAGATGTATGGTGCACTAACATAGTCGTGCACTATCTTCTGAGTTGTGTGGGGGATGAGATACAATTTTTGACCCAGTTTATGACGGAATACTGGTTACACGGGCATAAACGTACCTGGTTTTAAAACTGTGCATGGAATCTGGTCTGGGACTGGGCAGGGGAAGGGGTGACCCCCATCCTGAAACCACTTCCATTTAAACTCTATTTAAATCACTTCCTAGTCTAGCTCGTTTAATTTTCTCCACTGCCCTGAGGCTAAATTAATACTTCCTGAAGTCCCTGTGTCTCGTCTGAGAAATAAGTTTCACCATCACTTCCTTATTCCACGTCTCCTAATCCCGAACAGCAAGTTTCTGTCAACCCTGTCAGATCCTCGTACAAATACCTACGTCGTAATTATGTCTGTCCCGAATGTCTTCTCCAGAATCTCAGGTTGTTTCTTTCGTTTTCCTTCGCAGTTCATTTTTCTTAGTTGTGGGAATACTCTCGTTGCATTATTATTATTATTATTATTATTATTATTATTATTATTATTATTATTATAATCTGCATCAAGAATCCTTTCCTAGAATCACTACACATCCATGAAGAGAGAAAACAGATGCTGGACAACCTGTGATGACTGTCGAGAGATACTGAACAATTTTCTATGAGAGAACACACTGGCGTGCTCTTAGCGAGGGAGATATTAGTTTCCCAGGAAACTAGAGAGTGTGACAGGTATTGCGAAAGGTCAGGTGTTACCGTGTACACCTATAATCCTATTTTGCCTAATGGCTTTTCATATTTTCCCGGCTTGTATTATGCAAATGAAACACTATTTTGACACGACGACAACGATGATGATGATGATGATGATGATGATGATGATGGGTGAAGCTGAAGAATATGATGGTTTAAAGTAATCGACACAGGGTAACCATTTACCAATTTTCTTCGTTAACATTTGATTTTCTGTTTTACTGTTTACATTACGTTTTCTATTATCTCAACATGCCCACTCACTCGGCACCTGCACCAGAATCATGGAATGCTCCATTTATAAGGAAGTGAAAAGTACCACTAGCACGAACCCTCAGTATTCTCTGGAGAAAGAGCCTAGATCTAGGGAGAAGTACCAGAGACCTTAAACAAGTGCAGACATAGCTCCTTTGCATAAGGGAGGTAGTAGAGCACTTGCTAAAAACTACAGACTAGCAGCCCTAACTTCTCACATTATAAAAATCTTTGAAAGAGTGATGAGACGGCAGCACAACCGGCATAACCCAAATCAGCATGGCTTTAGAGCAGAACGATCATGCCTGTCATAGCTGCTGAACCATTATGACAAAATTACGGAAGCGTTGGAAGACGACCAAAAAGCAGATGTGATTTGCATAGATTCTGCAAACGTGTTTGACAAATGCAATCATGGAGTGATAGCGTACAAAATGAGGGCTACAGGCACAACAAGTACTAAGGTCCAGAATCAGCGAGGTAAAAAGCTCAGCTCACCAAGGCATCGTCCTGGCACCTTTGCTGTTTCTCATCATTATAGCAGACATAGATAAAAACACCCATCACAGTTTTGTATCATCATTTGCAAATGACACTAAAATAAGCATGACAGTCACTACGGTAGAAGACACTGAAAAATTACAGGAAGATATAAGCAGTGTTTTCCAGTGGGCAGTGGAGAACAACATGACGTTCAGTGGTGATAAGTTCCAGCTGCTTAGGTATGGAAAGAATGAAAAACTCAAAAGGAACACTGAATACAAAACAGAGCGAAAGGAACACGTGAAATATTTGGGAATTATGTCAGATGACCTTTCTTTCAAAGAACATAATAAGACAAAGATCACGACAGCCAGGAGGATGACGGGGTGGGTATTGAGAACCTTCAATACAAGGGAATACTGCTCAGTACTGACGGCCCCGTTCAAAGCAGGGGAAATATCAGAGTTGGAACAAATACAGAGATCGTTTACGGCTCACATAGAACCAATAAAGCACTTAAATTACTGGAAACGCCTTAAAGTCTTGAACATGTACTCACTAGAGCGGAGGAAAGAGAGATACATGATAATATATGCCTAGAAAGTACACGAGGGCCTGGTCCCAAATCTGTACATTGTCATAACAACATACTGGAGTGAGAGATATGGGAGGAAATGCAAAATAAACCCAGTGAGGAGCAGGGGCGCGGTGGGCACAATAAGGGAACACTGTGTCAACAATCGTGGTCCCAGAATTTTCAAAATCTTACCAGATGATAACAGAAACATGGCTATTACAACTGCAGAAGCCTTCAAGAGGAGACTGGACGAGTATCTTCACTAAGTGCCGGATTAGCCAGGCTGTGATGGATATGTAGGGCAGCGGGCCTCCAGTAGCAACAGCCTGGTCGACCAGGCAAGCACCAGACGAGCCTGGCCCACGGCCGGGCTCCTGGAGCAGAGAGACTCTCGAAACTCATCAAAGGTAAATCAACATTACGTTTTCTCTTGTTTATATTTCGCTTTCTGTTCCATTACTAACATTGCGTTTTCTCCTGTATCGCTAACATTACGTTTTCTATCATACTGCTAACATTACATTTTCTATAACATTACTAACATTACGTTTTCTATTACTTTGCTAACTCCATTTTCTGCTCTATCGCTAACATTACATTTTCTCTCACACTGCTAACATTGTTTTCTATCGCAATGTTTACACAGCGTTTTCTATCGTATTTCTAAAATTACGTTTTCTTTTGCATTGTTTATACTAAATTTTCTCTGCCGTGTTTCAGTCAGCCTCTCACATCTGCTTCTCCGAGTTTACTGACATATTGGAAACCGATTACTGAGCGCTTCTCTGCATATTAGATCTCCAAGACTGCTTCTAACAGCCCAGAGTGTGCTCACGGAATATATATATATATATATATATAATATATATATATATATATATATATATATATATATATATATATATATATATTATTGTAACCAACCACGAACGAGTGGTATTAATCAATAACAACACTGCGACTAGCCAAGGACTCGAACCTATGCTGCTTTGGCCCGCCTCATGGTGAGCGAAAACACATGACGTTGTAATCCACAGGACCACGCAAAACTACAAGAATAGCGCACTCAGCCAAGCTAGGTGTTTTACCGTCATCCGAGGACATACGGTGGTGTGGGTGCCTCTGGCTAATTTCATTTTACTCCCTTTAATGTATTAGCCCAACGAGCAGTATTTTATATTATTGTAACCACGAACCAGTGGTATTGATCAATAACAACACTGCGACTAGCCAAGGACTCGAACCCATGCTGCTTTTTTCCCGCCTCATGCTCGTTGGGCTTGTACACCAAACAGGGAGTAGAATGAAATTAGCTCAGAGGCACCCACATTACCGTATGTCCTCGGATTACGGTAAAACACATAGCTTGGCTGGGTGCATCATTCTTGTAGGATTGCATGGTCCTGTGGGTTAGAGCGTCATGTGTTTTCGCTCAACATGAGGCGGACCAAAGCAGGATGGGTTCAAGTCCTTGGCTAGTCGCAGTGTTGTTACTGATATATATATATAATATATATATATATATATAATATATATTAATATATATATATATATATATATGCAAATAAATCACAGTAAACAGGTGATTATTGAGAATAATGCCAAAACAACACTTCTGAAGAATAGATTTTAAATCTCCAAGCGTTTCGTGACTACTCACTTATCAAGGAACTATGAAAGTAAAGCATCCAGGAACTATTAAGGGTTACTGGCAGCACCTCACTATCAGATCCCACAAACGGTTAAACACTGACGCGCGGCCCTTAACTGGACAAGGCCCTTTGCAAAAACCCACCAACAAACTTTCTAACACCAAGAAATTTTTAAAAAATATTATTTGTCCAGTTTATATAAATTCTGCCAAATTATTAATTATAAATGGATCTAATTTAATAAACCAAAGGAAATATTCATATTATTGTCAAAATGCTTTTTATAAACAAAGATTCAATTATAATTACCGGTTCGACCATGGATTTGCTTGATACTACTTTCTAACTTTTTGAATTCATTATGGTTAAATGCTTTCATGGAATAAATAGAGCATTGGAATCTTGTCCAG